CACCCACCGGTCATCCCGACACTGGTACCGGCGCCAGCCCCCAGTGGTCTCCTCTCGTGCTCTCCGGCGACGGGCTGACGCCGCCAACGCGTTATCGATTATCGATTGTCGCTGCTGACTCAGTGCCGGCCGTCTCGGTCAGTCAGACGCACTCGGAACGGACCATGCGGTGGGTGGCAGACAACATGCACGGTCGGGTACCAACGATGGCTAGGTATAACGTGTTAAATGTATCTACCATACGCAGTTGATCTTCTGTCTCATTGTGCTATTTGTTTGGAATCATCAATAAGCTAGGCGTCCAAAAACATGTGAAGTCGATACGTACAACGAAATCGTCAGTCGGTAGACATGACTCTGTACCTCATATATACGCCTACGGCCAGAGTTTTTCACCTGATGATGGTCTAATTTGCATGAGAAAGCAGGCTTGTAAAGTGGAACAGCTCCATAGGCGGCTTTAGCACTTAATCCTCCTTGTGTACTCGGGTCGTCGAAAATCTGTCGCTCTCCCAGCCCTTGTCCATCCGTCCCTGACACGGCGCCGCGGTGCCGCCCATCGGTAGTCGGCCCCGCTGGTCGTGTCCGGAACCTAACGATCCGCACTTCCGAGACGTGGCGCGAGCGCCGCGCGACAGAGCCGACGGGGCCAACGGGTCGAGACGGCGGCGACGGCCGGCCGTGTGACGCGAGCGCCGCGCGACAGAGCCGACGGAGCCGACGGGTCGAGACGGCGGCGACGGCCGGCCGTGTCGGGCTGATCCGGGGGGCCGCGGAACGGGGCACGGGGCGGGATATGGATAGTCGATGAGGAAACGGACATGGGGAGTGAAGGAAATGATATGGATTTTAGACATTGACACAGACGAAGGGAGTGGAGGGCACGTATGGATAATAGACACATAAGGACACGATCTCGACACCTTGCATAACGTAAATGGATACCAAGCATGGACTCTGATCGATGAAGAAAATAGCCTAGAGCGGCACTCGCCAGAACGGCATGAGATGCCCCGGCACAAGACACATCTGACACGAATCTCGATGAAATTATAGATGAATCTGGCCGCCACGGAGCTAGAAATTATTACATAAACGACGTCGATCACGTCCCCAGGCAGGAATATGGAAGTTGTGAAGACGGATGACTCAACAGCTACCTTTCATGCCTAGCATGGGCCCTTATTATGTTTTTAATCATATAAACTGAATTGCAAATTACGCATAACGTCCTATATTCGATGGTTGTTGACACATATCTTGGTCGGACAAAAAAAAAAGTAGACGGACAGATATGACGAAGGGTCATGGAGGACATGTGATGTGGTCTCCGAACAGAGGGGCGATTACAATGCACGACATGCACAACAGAGTGCTCGTTTCAAATACACAATGCATGGCACTTCTATGTTTACGTATACCACGAGTTTGCGTCTTTAATTGAGATTGATTGGTACTTGACATTTGAGGTGAATAATGAAGGTCTGTTGTTTTGATGAAGGGCAACAGTAGGACAAATTGCAGGCAAAAGTAGAGCTTTGTTAATAAAATGACGGGCTATTGGTTAGGTTCAGAGGTTTACATTATTTATTACGTCGGCCCGAATGGCTATTCACTATCAGTGACCTGTATGGAAAAATTGACGCCTGGCCAGCTCATAAAACATCTAGTACAATTATTTTTACTTTGAGGATATAATTAAACCCATCTTGAGGCATGTGCTCAATGCTGGATGCAATTAGGACCTAAATCACAATGGCGCTCAGTGAAAATGCAGAGTATGTTCGCTACGAGTATACCCAAATAAGTCCTCGCTATCCATAATGCTGCATCAAGCAAACGGCTCGAGCAGCTTCCATGATGACATTGCCACGTCGATCACATGCTGACGGAACATTGCTGCTCACTCGCGCTGTCTGAATTCCATTCACTCGTGTGTGAACGATCTCATTCAATCGATGAGTGCAACGATCGACAAATCAATATGCTTTGTGCGCTGTGCTGTTTGTCGTCTTTGACACGATTACATTGTTCTTTCGTGTGAACAGTATTAGCTGAGAGCGGATTGTGACTGTTGAACTGCGTTTGGTGCTCGATGTGTGACGTCAACGTTAACCTTTAGGAGCGAGTCATTCACAGCATCGCAAATAAAAATGGCGAGGGTTGGCTCTATAAGAGTACATATGGCGCGAGATGCTGGCTTGGCCAGATTAGGGCTTTACAGTTCCTTGGCTCTGAACCAAGACCTCTGGCTTCTGACCCAGGTAAGCATTATCCATGACAAGCCATCATGTTCTGAGCGCCACCACTAGCCTGACTCCACCTATACCGGCAGGCTGCATCTCGGGGCTCCACAGAGGTCGACCTCGGGCCACGGTACCGGGCGCTGGCGCCCTCTAGGTACCGTCACCCCGTAGAGGGCGCTGCAGCCGTGTGAGGTCTGTCAGCTGAGGGAAAACGTCGATAGGGGTCGACTGGTACGCCCACCTGGGTCTGTTTTATCCTTTCTATATGGTTATCTATATGATTATATGATTATCCTTTCAAACTGGCCTTCGAACAAGTGCAGCTTCACCCTCTGAGCAGGGGATGGATATCTCAATCCGCAGGTCTCGAAATTCATTTCTCTTACATAAAGACACCCTAAGCACAATGACATGACCTACGGTGTTTCACTTCTTAATGACAGAATCGATACTCCGATTGAAGGCCGAGTATTATATAACTTGCCATGACATTGGTTCCCTGCGGAGTGCATGGAGCGTCATAATCTACAACCGTGATCGTAACCTCGTGATCTAGAAGAGTTAGTGCGTAGTATTCGTGAGCGTTTGGTTCGGCGAATGTTTTTTTACATATGACAAGTACTAGGTTAACCCTCGCCCGTATTGGTGTTTTTCCAGCCGTGAACGTATAGGGGGGGGGGGGGGTCCGTTGGACCCCCCCTTGCCGTTTCGCCCCTGATCGAGCTAGAGCTTCGCGGAAAAAACGAGCGTGTTGCCCGTGACGAGAGGAAGCTGATGATACCCAATTTTAAGGTCCTAGGTCATTGGTTGACCTTGCAAGTCAGGTCAATGACCCAAAAGTCGGGAAAATCGGGACCTGTTAGAACGTCGTAAAGTGTGGCTGCTATGGGTTTTTTCGGGGTGCTGATCACGAATATCATGTTAGTTTTGATCACAGATGATGTCTTCATGCATTTAGGTCAGGTCGGGTCAGGTCAGGTCAGGTCAACCAGTAAGGGTATTCGTAGTAGGTGGCAACCGCCTCTGACAGCTTCGTAACATGTTACGAAGGCACCAAAACTACTTCGTAAATGTTCATATGGTTGCTAAATTCGAATTCAGCTCCAAAAACTGGCCTAGAAACATGTAAAACTCGAAAAAAGTGAATCAAGGTCATCAAAGGTCAATGACCTGACCTGACCTTCAGGTGACCTTGACACCCACCCTAATGCATGTAGGCAACATCATATCACATGTTTGAACGCTTGAAACCACGAAAAGACTGCAAACGCGCGGCTAATGCGAGCCGACATACGCCGAATCGCGATTCCGGCCAAACATGGTCTCGAAAAGTAGGTCACAGGTCAAAGGTCATTTGGGTCAGGGTCATGAAATTTTCAGGGTAGGTGTAAAATTGATGAACGCGAGGGTACTGAAAGTTTCGTCGCGATCGGCCGCTTTTTACGCGAGTTATTCGCGAAAAACCATGGGGGGGGTCCGTTCGACCCCCCCCCCTATACGGGCGAGGGTTAAGGTACATATTTTCGCCTATAAAATACATCCGTTTTTACAGGCGACATTTTCCGTGTCACTTTACGAATTCCAAATAGGTATTTCAATTTCGAAGAATGTTTTATCTTCCTTAACATTCGATATACCTACCTATAGTTGCTTTTAATTGGCGTATTTTCTAAAAGCTTGGTAAAAGGACGACCAAGTTTCGGCGAATTTACAATGAACTTGAACAATGAACAATGAACATGTCATGGGGCGGCCCGGACCGCCGCTCCGGGCAGGAGCCATGACCGCTCCCTCCCCTCCCCTTCCTCCCACCCCCACATACCGGGAACGGTAGCGGTGTCGGGCACACGCTGAAGCCCTGTATGTATATCGCGCGACTGACATGTATCGTCGGGCTATTTCTGCCGCTCTGGCGCGACCCGACACGCGATCAGGCGGTGCTCGGCCCCAACCCGTCCCACACCGCCGGGAATTCCGGATAGTGCAGCAGCGCTGGGGTAAATCAGTGCAGTTATTCGATTCAGATATTACACAGCTCTGACGTTGCTTTCATTAGGCCCGGACATTACCTTATCCCAAGACAGTGCCCCAGCCCCAGACCAGGCCCAGACCAGACATAGGCAGAAAAGTGCGACAGTCTCACTCTCAGACAGTCCAGCATTCCCATCCCATCCGCATCAATATTAGCCCCGTCTTCCACCACCGCCTCCTCCGGCGGACCAGGCACGGCGGGAGCCGCCGGCGCGCACGTCTAAGTTCCATAATTCACCGACAATCAATGGCCGACCACTGACGGCCGACCGCCCACCGCGCCCGGCGTGCTTCCGCCGTGCTCCGGGCACGCCAGCGGCGTTCTCGGACGTGCTCGGCCGTGCTGGACGTTTAGTGGGTGTGAGGTGATTCAGCTATAGCGCATTTATAACTATGTGGCCTGCAGTGTGCGGTTGCCGGTTTAGTGCAGCGAACTGCGCCGCAGTCGCCAGAAGTATTGCGGAATTTGGTACCTTGACCAAGTCCGGTCGTTTACTGAGCAGTTGTAGCGGTCAGTGTCACAGTGCAGCCATGGCACGGTGACAGCCGAGTCGCAGCTCGCTGGTACCGCGGCCCTGTCTCTGCGGGGGTCCGCGGCAGGGGGAGCGGTGTCGTGCAGAGAGGGTGTGAACACCGCCTGGTGTGCCCGGACGGCGGCCAGCCCCCATGGCGCCAGCCGACCGTCCCAGCGCCGCCGACCGACCGACCATCGACACCACCGACAGTGTGAGGTGTGCGGGCGGCGCGGCCGGGCGAACGGCCGGAGTGAGCGCGGGGAGAGGGAGGGAGACGCGGTGACACGAGAGTGACGTGACAGGGAGAGAGTGAGAGAGGCGGAGGGAAGGTCACGTCACCCTGTCCGTTGGGTCCAGTGAGGATATCGACGCGTTGAGAGCGCCGAGCACTGCCGGTCTCGGCTGTGACGAGCCCCGCGTGGGAGGTGAAACGGGAGCGAATCGGGCAGTTACCACCGCCATTCCGTCTCACTGAGCCCGGCCTGTGAATATCCCATGGCGCAGTCTCAGGTGGTGCCCTATCGCGTCGGCAACTGAATAAATCCACCTGAACGGAGCGCTGAATGTCCTGGTGAAGAGCGCGGTCAAGTGAGCACTGAATGTTCCGGGAACGGGAGCTGAGCGGATAATGCTCCGGTGATTGGTGCAGTGAAGTGAATGCGGGACTCTGCGAGGCGGACCGCAGTCACGGTGGCTGACCCACACTGCTCAGTGGGAGCACAGAGCCATGGGGGACCCCGTGTACATGCCGCAGCGCAGCGGAGCCGGAAAACACTTCGCCGCTCTGTCAGAAATGGTACGAAATGTGCAACATCACACTTTTATTTTATTATTTGCCATAAATGGAGGGATTTGTAAATGATATCAGGGAACAAAGCGGTTTTATTTGTTTTGGTTTATTGATAACCGTCTTCACCACCACTCATTTCCTTTCATTTATTGCGGATATTTATTACCTAAATTACAATGAACGTCTGACTACCTAAACCGGCATGACATATTTTTTGTTCCTGTGGTACCTACAGCTGTTTTCACGTGAGAGGTTAGGTACGTGCTCGAAAGAGCACTAGCATCGAAGTCTTGTCTGGTGCCTTAATGCCTTGCGTTGCAGTTATGTGTACTTGTGCTGTGACAGTCATTCGCGAGCGTCTGGCAGCGTCCGTGAAAGCTGATTACTTCGTCGCTAGGTGGCACCACCAGTAGTTACTTGGATAGGTAGACTGTGCCGCACGACATGAATCCAGTCTGAAGAACGGGTAATGTAGTGTGGTGTCATATCGCAGAGTGGTGGGCTTCGTAGCATCCTCGCAAATGGCTCAGACTGGTAAATGGCTAAGAAGAGCGGAAAAACATTTCACGACTACGTGTGGAATTGTATCATTCGATATTTATGGAAGGTTAACATCGTAAGTACATAAGCCCTCGCCGAATCTCGTGCTTGGGGCGAGTAATGCGCGTGCGGGCATGCCGTTTTTAAGCCGTGGCGTCTTCGGCAAATAAGCGCAGGTAAAAATGTGGCCCTGGCACGAATTGCGTATCGATTTATCCGCTGTCAGACGCCGTCTTATCCACCGGATACGTTACGGCTGACCACCCATGACCTCTCGCTTAAAGGTGAAATGTCATGACCGATTCACAGACCGGTTATCATGCATTGGTGGGTACTGGGTAGCCGCAATCTATGTCTCATCCCATCCCCTAAGTAGCTCGTTTAGAGTATCTGTCTCGTCTAGTGGTGCCGTGGATGGTTGGGGGGATGGAGTCACGATAATTTAGATTTTAGTTAGCTTACAGTACGAAAACTCCGTCCCTCACCGTGCCGGCATAGTATCTCCAGTTCCCTGCTAGATTTGTTACTCCTTTGGCTGAAACTGAGGTTGTCGCTGTGCCTTTGCTACCGCTGCACCTTTGGCTGAGGTTGCGGCTGTACATAGGGGACAAACTCGACGGCCTGTTACCTGGAGTGTCGCGGCCGCTGTCGGCGGGTCAGCCTCGGCTTCTGTTCTCTGACGTGTCGCGTCCGTGGGACAGTCTCGGTGTCTATTCCGGATAGTGGACAAGTGTCGCGGCGCCTGGCTGCGGGACGGGCTCGTTGCCCTGTTCCCTGGACAAGTGTCGCGGCTCTGGAGTGTCACCTCCGCTGTCGTCGCCAGCCGCCTGTCGGTGACGTAGCGACTGCTGACGCCACCGTTGGACCGGGCCACAGCCCCAGACCGGGGTATTGTCCCCGGCCGGTCAGCCGTGGTCCCACCACCGATCACAGGGACAGACACTGAACTCGGACTTGGCAACTCCACTCGAATTAGATGCACGGTTTAACATAGTTATTTATAAGAGTATTTGATGACAATAAATAGTGTGAAACGGGTCTAATCAATCATAACTGATATGGGTGATATAATTTTGTTATAGCGTCTTGTTTAGATGAACAGACAGCAATTTTATCGCAATCGGACCACACAGGTATCGAGTGGTAATTATCGACATCGATATATTTTGAAAAGTAGCTTTTTATTCACTTCGGTGCACAGTGGAACAAGCGAGATAACTTGCATTTTCGACGCGTACTAACAATCTAATTTTGTCTTCCTTGCAGATGGCCGGCCAAGATCCACGATGGCAGAAGGACGCGGCAGACCAGAACTTCGACTACATGTTCAAGTTGTTGATAATTGGTAACTCGTCAGTGGGAAAGACGTCGTTTTTGTTCCGCTACGCCGACGATTCGTTCACATCTGCCTTCGTGTCAACAGTCGGAATCGACTTCAAAGTGAAAACCGTGTTCCGGCAAGACAAGCGAGTCAAACTTCAAATATGGGTAAGTAGTGTACCGGAAGAGAGAGAGAGAGAGAGAGAGAGAGAGAGAGAGAGAGAGAGAGAGAGAGAGAGAGAGAGAGAGAGAGAGAGAGAGAGAGAGACGCATTCGCTGCTTGAACATCCAATTCATTAACGAAATAAATATCCACCGTCCATCAGTTTCCCGGAGATCACAGACCATACTCTTTGTCTGGACAAATACGGCCAAATCACACGCTCCGTTCGTCTCTCAGTACGCTCGCCATCGTTTCATGTCATCCGTACAACACAGCACCATCTGTTCTCGTGGGCACGGATAGACAGAGGACCACCCACCCTCTTCCCTGCGACAGGACGCGACCGCCCGCTCCCAGTAGGTATGGGACGCTCATTGGACTTGATTGACATATGTTGTCTGCCTGGGTGGAGACACTCGGATGGAGGGTACAGTAGGACTAGCGTCTAGCGGGACGTAAGATGGGTGCATTGGTCTGGGAACGAATGCTTAGGAGATTGGCAAAACAGGATACATTTACTGGTGAGGTTGACATTCTTGCTGCTAGCCGATGTCATGCCGTAAGGTAGGTACATGCGTTAAAATATTTAATATTTGTAAGCAATGTAGGTGCCCACCTACTCCACAAGTAATCGTCTACTTCACAACTGATAATTTGGGGAGTAAACTCATTTTATTAAAGATGGGTAGGGGAACATATGTGAACATCAAAACACAATGCAACTTTGCCAGTCGAAACTTCATTCACCACAAGCGACCGGTGATCGTTGTATTGAAACAGTATCGCCTGCCCTCACAATATGACGAAACACTGCCGCCATTCAGCGCCGTCACGGTCCACCGTTATTACGGCAGACGGCTACGAAGCTATACCTGTCAGCTGCCAGCATCGTTATCGCGCAATCGTGGCTCAACTGTCAAATGAACCGTGACGGCTTCCGGGCGAAATGGGACTCACGGCAGACGCTGGTCAAAGTTCGGTGCTCTGTGGCTTTATTTAGCTGATGACTTTTCTTGATTACTACGAGCGGTCTTCAAAGGGAAGCGTCCTATTTTGGCCGAGCATGTTCATTTTTATCACCATGGCACTATCGATTAACGTGCACGAAGTGAAAAACTGCATCAATACGGAAGTACGTGCTATAGGTATAGGAGCATGGTCTATATTCGTATGCTTCTGATTTCTCAACAAATAAAATCACTGTCATCATCGAGCATCATTACTTCACAAATTTTTCATGGTAATGTATTTCATCCTAAAGCACCAAGCGCCCAAAGGTAGCTGGAGATACCTCATGGTCTTCTCGAGCTATACCATTTTCCACACGTATCTGGACAAAATCAGCGCCTGGTCAAAGGGAAGCACTCAGCGTCACACATAGCAAGTGTGGCGGCCCAGAGTCAGTTGTCTCCGCGCCTGTGACATTGAAAACAGATGTGCCAGACCAAATCAGATGACATTTGGTGGCCCACCTGTAGCCGGCTACCATTACAAGTCATACACATGTGCTAATCCAGGGAGCGGTTTTGTTGTCAAGGCACAGAGCAGAATGACCAGGCAAGGTGCAGTTAGAATGCTGATGGAGCACGACTTAAGGTCAGGCATTAATGCTGAACTTTAACATTACGTATGGCGGACAAAACGGAATTGCCGCATTTTAGTCTTTGAATGCACGGCGATTTTGCTTTTACATTATGTTGGACGGAAAGGTCACCAGCTGGAGCCAGTTAGCACTTATAGCCTAAAATAGCGGCATTGTAACACTTTAGTATCACCTGACAAACATAACTCAATAGCATGGTCAACACTGTCCTTGCAAACACCATTCAGTCCTCCACTGATCCATAGCCATCAGCCGGACTGCCGCACCGTTTAACCCCGGCTGACCCGCCGGCCGCCGACGCGGCGCCGTGTCGGTGTCGACGGGCCGGCTCGGTGCGGCGGTGACGCCGGCTCCGGGTCGATATCAGGCCGTGTGCACCCCACCCCCCACCCCTCCCCGCTCGGTCCGGACTGGCTCTTGGCCACGGCGCGCCTCCTTCGGCGGTGTCGGAGCTCGTTATCACCTGGCCTGAGGAGCAGCCGACCAGACGTCCGGCTGAATGGGCCAACCACCGGACTCAGTGACGCCAGCCGCAGCCCAGACCGACACCGGCCTCTGGTCTGCAGCCCCCGCCCCCGCCCCCGCCTCCAGGGCGGCTGGCGCCTGGCCCCGTCTGGTCTGACCGCAGGGTCAGCCCCGCCCCCGCCCTCACCCTGTGACCGGGGTGATATATACCTCAGCGATACTCTTTGGCTTAAATAAATAACATTGCACATAAAAATGAATCAAATAAAACCGCATAACTGTCCGCAAAGGAATCCGTGAACTTTAATATTAAGTCAGAGGAGACACCCTAGAGTGAGCGCCGGCGTCCCTGCAGGGTATTGGGGAAAGTTCTGCTGCGGGAGGAGACGCCAACTCTAGATAGAGTTATCGAGTTTCCAACCGCAGTCACCTGAGGAACGGTGAAAGGACTTCACCAGATGACTCAGAGGAACGGTGAAAGGACTCCACCAGATGACTCAGAGGAGCGATGGAAGGACTCGCCAGGGACTCAGAGGAGCGATGGAAGGACTCACCAAGGACACAGGGAAACGGTTCGGTGGAAGCAGTGTTGGAATGACTCTGACGAAAGACGTGACTGTTGGGCGGTGGACGGTTGTCGGTGCAGCTCACCTCGGGCGGTGTGAGGGTCCACAATATAGCGATAAGTGGACGGTGGACGGTGGACGGTGGACGTTGGACGGCGAATAGTGGACGATGGACTGTGGACACTGGACGATGGACACTGGCCAGTAGATAGTGGACGTTGCGTGGACCGCGGTGTGCCCTGCGGGTGGTGAAAAGCAGGACGTGGACAGGAAGTAGACGACTGACGATAGACCGTGGACGGTGACAGTAGACGAGGAATAGCTGACAGTTGACGGTGGACAGAGACGACCAGGAAGCATGTAGACGGACGGACGGCGTACATTGGCCCATGGACGAACGGTGGACAGTAGACGGACAGTGGACGGACGGACAGTGGCCCATAGACGAACAGTGGACGGTGGCGATGGTCGGTAGACGGTAAACAATGAAGGGTGGTCGGCGGGCGCAGGCCCACCAGCAGAGCGCAGCAGCCGTGGCGGTATCGGCGGCACGGTCCGGCGGAACTCCATTGAGCGGATCGCCCGGCGGCCGCGCCGACTGTCTGTCCATGCTGGACGCGGCACGGCACAGTGCGCAGTGCGGCAAGACATCTCCCCGCTCTCTCTCTCTCCTTCCCTCTCCCATCCTCTCCCCGCCCTCCGCGGGGAGACGCCAGACGGAGCAGGGCGGGGCGGCGCCGACCGTCTGCACTGGCCACCGATGACGACATTATCTGTGTCAGCAGCAGTGGAAGCAAAAAATACATAGATACATTTAAAATGTCATCTGATTTTAATCACAATTTATCATATTGTATTATAATATTCCATCAATTACATCCTCAAATTTTGACATTTCTGTACTTCATTTTATTTTCACATCCACAAGCTTGTGAAAAAATAAAACGTGCACAAGGTTGTGTGCGCAACTGTGGGAAAAAAGTACAATGGTTCTCGTTCGTATTTCTCCTTATACTTAATTTCACGCCGTGCTGCTCTCTAACCCAACACATGCCCTTTCGGCAGGACACGGCGGGTCAGGAGAGGTACAGGACGATTACGACGGCCTACTACCGCGGCGCCATGGGCTTCATCCTGATGTACGACATCACCAACGAAGAGTCTTTCAATAGCGTTCAGGACTGGTGAGTGCGGCTGACGCCATGCTGACGTCTGCTGAAATGGTCAGTGTATAACGAAAGATATTCCGTCGTTGCATTAATGGTGTTCCCACTTTCCTTGATACCGTCTTCTCGACTCTATAGGAAAGGTCACTTGAAGACAATAGACTGCTATGATTACGGGTTATGGTTGTCGGTGACGCTTACTGCGGGCAAAAGAGTGAACATTTAAGGTGAAGACTGTAACTAGAGAACAATGTCAGTTATACGGAGGGTGCGAGTCCCGTCCAGTGTCCTAACCGGTTACTGGCGATTTAATGTGAGAGAGAAGGAGAGAGAGAGAGAGAGAGAGAGAGAGAGAGAGAGAGAGAGAGAGAGAGAGAGAGAGAGAGAGAGAGAGAGAGAGAGAGAGAGAGAGAGAGAGAGAGAGAGAGAGAGAGAGAGAGAGAGAGAGACCGACTCAGATATATCTTAAGTTTCATAAAATATGTATGGAATATTTCGTATTCGATCTGTTTTACCAGCTCGTCTATCGATTTAATAACGATAGGTAATATATAATACATAATATATAATAAATTAATAATATAATATATAATATATAATATATAATATAAAGGACAATGATCATAACAAACGCAGATATCGAATGCATTATCTAATGTTAACTACCAGATGCATGGTATACAACAGGCAGGCAAGAGCTGAGTATTTGTAGCTCAAAGTGCTGATTCATACCCACATGTTGAACGTTTGTCACACTAATGGGGTACCTGTGATGTTCATCATTTCGCTTCAGCACTGAACAGTTCCATTACGCCGCGGGCTGCCCCGCTTACCTTGTGACCCACATAGATCGACCCTGGTTCACAGTCGACTGGGTCGCGTATCCCGGCTGTGGCCGACTAACGTGTGTGCGGCCCTGATAGAGCGTGTCCGATCGATATCAATAATGTAGCGCTATTTATGACGGCGGTCGGCGCTCGATACTGGCACAATGGTGGCGCGTGAGCCACGAACGGGACAGGCGACAAAAGCGACAGGAACTGATCGACACAGCTCGGCCACAGAAGCTGTTACTTGTCGCTCAACGATTGGATCAATTGTGAACTGCACTGCAGTCCTGATCATGCTAAGCTAAGAAGAGCTATGAAAAATGAGGCTTAGCCTCGCTGCTATGGTGCCGCGCGGCGGTGCCAGGTGTTGTGCGGTGCAGCCTATCCCAGAGTCTGCAGGCGCTACAACTAACGCCATCTATTGACAGCGCGGCGAAACTCTGAACGCTAGTGGCAGAGCGCTGAGATCGCTTCCCTCGGCGACAATCATGGCCATTATCAAACGGCACGAGCTTGTCAGTAGGGCTAAGGCTTTCTTCCGTGATCATAAATTGACCGGTCAGGGGAAAGAAGACCGCTGAGCTTTGCGTTTTCTCCGTGGCAGAGTGCTTCCTACTAAGGCTAAGTGCCGCGGCTAGAAGCATTGGCAGACACTGCTACAGGATGGTGGTCATTTAGGAAATCGTATTATGTCTTATTCAGCCTTGACATGACACGTGAGGCACTCAACACAAAAACGTATGTTGTTTTTTCGCTTTCGGCAAGCAAGGTCGATGGAACGGACCAAACGGGTTGACATGACATCCCAGGCAGCATGGTTTGACACGATAGGTACTAACTGTCTTCCTTCCAACCACAGGTGCACCCAGATCAAGACGTATTCTTGGGACAACGCCCAGGTGATTCTGGTCGGGAACAAATGCGACATGGAGGACGAGCGAGTCATCAGCTACGAGCGCGGAAAGCAGCTGGCCGACCAGCTCGGTCTCGAGTTCTTCGAGACCTCCGCGAAGGAGAACATTAACGTCAAGGTAAGTGCATGGTGGCGCTAGGGGGACACTGCAACTAGTGGGGGATCAGGGGAGTGCCTGCTGTCCTGGGGGGGGGGTCAAGGATGTGAGCGATGCCTTTAGTTCGTCTCAGATTGCGTGATTCCACTAGTCAGACTCAGGAGTCAGGACAGAACATTATATGTAGTGTTCTCATTTTCACCGCTGCCTGCTCTGTCACCAGGCCGTGTTCGAGCGACTGGTGGACATCATCTGTGACAAAATGTCCGAGAGCTTAGACTCGGACCCCAACATGATGAACGCCAGCAAAGGCACGCGGCTCACCGACCAGCAGCCCCCGAGCTCGGCGCCGTGCAACTGCTAACACCAGCGCCGCCCTAGCGGCCACCCCGGCAACTGCCGGCGGCCGCCTCACGGACGGGGCACGCGGGCGGGAGGGCCGGTCCTGTCCGATAGGCACGGACCAGGGCGGCTGGGAGGCTCAGAGGGCTCAGTCGAGGCCAAGTGGAGTAATCTGATCTCAGTTGGGGTCATCTGAGGTCATGAGGTCAGATGGTGTCAACTGAGGTCACGGGCTATCAGCTGATATCAGACTGAAGTCAGCTGCGCGCAAGGATTGGTTGATATCAGCTTGGCCCGTCTGAAATCTGAGGCCAGGGGGCCTCGTCTCGAGTCACTCCAAGGCAGCTGGCGTCAGCTGAAACCGGCTGAGGTCAGTTGAGCTCGCGGCGCGGCGCTCGGTCAGCCTCAGTCGCTGTTGGGCCCTCTTCCAATGGCCCCGCGCACAGCCCAGCCCGGTACTCCGGGGAGGGCTCCCAGAGGAGGTCAGGCGGCCGGTGGCGGCCCTGGCGGCGCGCCCTGACGCTAGTCGCGTCAGACCCCTCAGACAGACGCGCTCCTGGTTCGGTGGGCGGGGAGGGTCGGATCGGGCCGGGCAGTGACCCTCGCTGTGCCTCTCGGTCCCCGAGGTCTCCGTGTTGTCTCGTGCTGGCAGCGGGCTGGCCCTGGTCGGACGGACAGCTGTGTGAGCGGGCCGCAAGCAGACGCTCGGCGCGCTCTCTCCGGCTCTCTCCTCTCTTTCTCCTCGTTCCTGTCTGTCTCTGTGTTCCGCCGCGGCCTGCCGCAGGCGGAGACCGCCGACGCTCCGGTGAATGTCCCTCGCGAGTTAAACAGACTTCCTCCTTCTCTTCGAGACAGGAATCTCCCCACATGTGATCGGAACGCTCACTCCTCCGATTTGGTCAGACTGGTCTCCTATAAACTCGCGTTCTTCCCCATCTACCTTTACTCTCGATATTCGGCATCTAAAAACAATCAAATCGGCGCGGTGACACGAACGCCACCTATACCGCTCACCGTGCGTGTAGCCCGCCACCTAGCGAGTGCCAGTGGAGTCTGCCCGTGATGGACCCGCCGCGCAACAGCCCAATGTCGCGTTTCCCCTATATAGACTGTGAGTTTGTACGTGTACCTGTGAGCTGCATGCGATGTATCGGTGCTGTCGCCTCTCCTTCGCTCTCTCTTTCTCTCTTCCCTCTGTCCCCGCGGGGACAGGCGGTCGCCTTGTTACGTGTTGCAGTTTCGTTACGCTGTGGTGTGCCCGTTTTCGTTTCGTTTCTGTTTAGTTTGTTATGGTGAAAAGGCTCTGTGTGCGACCGAGTGGAGGCATCACATGTAGCGGAATGACAGGAGTGCCACCACCAGCCCGCCAGTAGACATGTTCTTTGCGTTGTTTCGAGGCGGTGTGTTTCTGTTATTTCCGGAGCAGCGCGGCCGCTCTGTCGAACAGGGCACGCGCAGTGAAGTCTGTTAGACAATGCGCCGGGAGCGCTCCGCGACTCCTCTGCCGGCGGCGCAGCGGCAACTGATAATGCGCCGTGACCGCGGCGCTGTGCCCGCTCGTCAGTTACATTCCGTTCCGCCGCTCTGGAACCGCGCGGTGCGCGCCCCGTTCCGCGGTGTCGTTCCGTTCGTTGGGCCGGCCCGGCCTCTGCCGGTGCGCCCCGTTACGTTGGACGTCTGTACACACCGGAGCGGAACCCGTGCTTCCGCGCGCGCTGATCCGTTTATGATTGTACATATATATCGTAGGGACCGAGTTGCGTTGCCATCCAGTACGAATACACATGTTAAATGTCCATCCGAGTTGTCTCAACAGCCGTATGAATGCAGCTTTCATGACAAAATAAGCGCGGAAAGGATGCAGAGCAAACAGGGTCTTACATAATCGTAACAGAACTCAAAAGTGTCGACGCTGAGTCAGAGCAGTGTGTATTTTTCTGTAGAAATCTCGGGACATGAGTCACTGTTCATGCGACATTTACAAATCAGTGGGTGTAGGTACCGATAAAGCGCCTGCCCGACGGCACAGAAGGCGCATACATACAAGAAACGAACCCAAACGTGATATCATCATAATACCGTTAGATAAGCGGGCCAACTGTCGTGAGTGAATTACATCGAGTTTGTAAACGGTTACGAATCTAGCAAATACGGCACATAACAGCCTAGTATAGAAGCTGTTTACTGTAACATAACGGAAGCTAAGGCATGCGTCGCTACGCGGTACACAGTATTACTGAATTATCACCACTTGGTTACAACATATTCGGAGCCATATTGCAGCTCACAGCAATCGAGTACGAATAATGCATCACCAAAGCTCCACATGCACATGATACATAAGTGTCTTCCTGTACAACAGCCAACCAAAACTAAAACTAATAGCGTGTGTCAAAGGCAGATCACACAAAATAAATCTTCTACACACATGGATACAAAACAAATTCAAGATATGTCGTCAATATGGATCACCGCAGTTTAGTCAGCCAACAATCGATTGTTTTCGCAGCACCGATTCAATAATCCATAGCTCTGCAGTTTGAAGCTGACCTTATTGACGTCAGGGTCCCAGAGGAGGGTTGAACATACCACAAACTGCACGTATAAACGTCCGATTGTACCACCACCACGCGGGCCAGCCATCAGCGGTTATGGCAAGATTTGCATCAGTCGCCGAGCAGTCGCCACACTGGGTGTTACCAGAGTAACCACCGTGTAACCACGGTGTAGCCTTCGAGCTAGTTACAGTCTCACATGGTTTGATTTCTGTGACGCCCCCGTGAGCGCTATCCTACGATACCGAACAATTAACTACCTGTCTGTCACTGTCAGACAGACAGTTTTCTCGTGAGCTTCAGGCCAAGTACAGAATACAGAGTACACGCAGCTAGCGGAGATACAAACATCAGTACGGCATCAGCGCTACATCACAGCGACATCAGACTGACGTCACCCGCAGCTCGCCACACGCAGTCAGTGACGTCACTCCTTACGTCACTCTGACGCCATCACAGCAGCCTACGGTTGGTGGCGGGGTAGCAGTCTTTGGCCCGCAGGATATAAAGTGACGTTAGCAATGCACTCAAGCTACGTCTAGTTGTCATGGCAAAGGTTGGCTTCAGCTATATTCCATCAAATCACCGAGGCAGTGTTTGGAAAAGGCGGCGACTGGTTAGTGGTTGTGTGTCTTCTCAACGTTATATCGCAGACAGGAAAGCCTGGCATCGACTCCCACAAATCAGGAGAGAGTGGGTCCCTGACAAGTAATCTCCTGCTCCTGAAAACTGTCCTGTCTGGCTCCTGCTGTCTGTGTCCGAATGAACGCCCCATACAGCCTCTGATCCCCTGGCCATCCACATATAACAGTCGAGATTCCAGCCACATCTCATCACATGATATCTTCCGTGAGCTATGATCTCAATAACGCTGCCCCAGCCGGCGTCAGCGCAGTGGTCCACAATACACGGTGGTCCACAAACCCAATCTAGTGAGAGCGCGACTCAGCTTCAACCCTAACCATCCATGCACGTATGCAAGGGTATTGGCTGCTCAACCATCGTACATACACGATTCAATATAAGCGCTCCATTTCGACGCCGCAGCCTCCAGTCTCCACCCTCCAGCCCAGCCTCCAGCCTCCAGCCTATTCTCCACGTCTCTACACAGCAGTGGCACTGAAGCATCCCGCGATCGCCGCGCGGTGACCTACCCGAACATGGCGGCGCCCAGAGTCAGCACGTCGTAGCACGTGTCACACACCCGGATGGGCTTGTTGATGTTGTACTTGACGATGGGCAGCTGCTTGTCCGAGCACTTATTGCACAGCAGCCGACCGCAGTGGCGACTGCAACGACCAAAAAAGGTTTGTTACACAGCGCGTTAAACAAACGGAAAACTCGAAGCAAAAAAAAAAGCAATTTACATACCTTAGCAAGCCGATATTATTCAATGACGTCAGGGTGTGCCACGTCATGCAGTTCGATCTCACTCCCCTGAATTTTGACTATTCTCTGGGACAAGTTGACATATACTTTGCCTGCCTGATGCCTGTGTATTTAAAGGATGACCACTGCGACTATGTGATTGAAATGAGAGCATTCAAAGTCAATCACCGAGAGTCTGTCGTACTGACCAGTGGTGTTTTCTAGTGGCGATACCGAACTTGGTGCCGCACTCCATACAGTGGTCACCGTCGTTCCAGCCCGGCTCCTGGGAGAGCGCGTCCAATAATCTGGAGAGGAGCGGAGTGAAAATGTCAATCGGCAGACGCAGGGACATAAACACACGGAGGGAAAGGCTGTAAAGCCGGCTCCACTTTTAGGGACTAGAAGTCCTGAAACAAAACCCCATCCACTTCATAATGTTCTGTGCAATTGTTACATTATAAATTAGCACGTACCACCTATCATGCTCGCGTCCCAGCCGCTCGTCGCTCGCAGCCCGTACCTGAAGAGGAGCTGCTTGGTGGCCACCTGGAAGTTGAAGATGGAGACGCCCTGGTTGTTCATGATGCCCAGCGAGGCGCCCGCCTTCACCAGTGTCATACACAGGTTGACGTTACCCTTCATGTAGGCTAGAAGCAACGCTGCAAATAAAGGGTGGGGAAGGAGAAAGGTAGTCAGTCGACCAGACTACACACAAACGACGCATTACAGAAATGGCCTCATCTTTGGACAAGTGTAGCAGACGGACTGACCGACGAAGCTTATGTTATCAATACTCGAATACCCAAGTATTTTCAAATTCACGCCATATGCAACTCTTACGCTCCAATCTCCCAGCTAACCCATCTCCCAACCCTCACGATGCCCTTCCAACTCCTCTCTTTTTCTCTCCCTACCCTCTCCCCGTTCCTCACCGGTGTTTCCCTCGGCGTCCTGTTTGTCCAGCGGGTATTTGGGCATGGACTCGAGGAACAGCTGGCAGATGGCGGCCGCGTTCTCCCGTCCCAGCGCGGCCACCATGTGCAGCGGGGTGCGGCCGCGCAGGTTGGTCGACTCGGCGTCAATCTGTGACTCGGTCAGCAGCACACGCACCGTGGATAGGTGCCCCTCCTGGCGGAGAGAGAAGGGTAACATCGTTAGGGCACAAGGTAGTGGCCAAGTGGCCCTCCTGTTAGGGAGTGGGGTAACATCGTTAGGGCACGAGGTAGTGGCCAAGTGGCCCTCCTAAAGACAGCGGGGTAACATCGTCAGGATACAATATAGATACCACGTGACCCTCCTGGGGACAGCGGGGTATCATCGTCAGGATAAGAGATAGTGACCAGGTGACCTCCTGGGGACCACAGGGTGGTGAGGTCAGGATACGGGCCGTGAGTAGATGACCCTCTTGGGGAAGGCAATTGGCATCACGACAGGGACAGTGGCCAAGCCGCCCTCCGGGAACGGCAAGGTGGCAAAATCAGGACCTGGTACAGACAGAATGACAAGATCCTCAGGTCACGGACGTTGGGCAGACGGTCCCTCCTGAAGACGATAGCGGGGTGGTGAAAACAGTAAGATTTCCCGGTCCACACACCCACTTTTCCTTCCCTTTCCAGCAATGAAGCTCATCACTTCCCCACTCCAGTTCCACTACTTCACTCACCTTACAGGCCACATGCAGAGCGTTATCCAGGTTGTTGTCCACGGCGTTAAAGTCGACTCCCTTATCGATCAGCACGGAGACACACTGGTGGCAGTCGCGCTCGGCGGCCAGGTGCAGGGCCGTCTGCTTGAGTGGGGTGCGCTCCTCCAGACGGGCGCCCGCCAGCATCAGGTTCCTGCGAGACAGACGGACGGACGGGGGGACTAGTAAGAGTAACGGGGGCGCGTAAGATATGAGTGTAGTTCATATGGACATGGGCGAGTACCGAGCCGCTATCTGTTTCCATGGTAGGATATCTGTAAATATCCACTATCGAGTAACTGCCATAACTATCAGCTACAATTTACTGTTCAAGGTCCTTATAAAGTAAAGTCGACTACAGAATAATGTTCCACTTTTCACAGGCAATTATTTGCCTGGGGTGGTAGGCTGTGCCGCATCACACGGGCTGAGTTCACAAATTACAGCTTTGTCCCAATGCTCATAATCGACACGCTTAACCCGCGCGGGGCTGGGGGGGGGTAAATTTTACCCCCCCCCCCTTAATTTACCCCCCCCCCTTGCGAATTTTTGCAATATCTCAAAAACGACGGCGCGCAGCGCCGCCAAACTTTCTGTACCTTTTCTTACATCAATTTGACACGTTCCCTGAAAATTTGAGCGAAATCCGTCGGAAAATTTTTGAGAAATTGACGTTTTAGTGACGTACTGTTCGCCATTTTCGCCTCAAAAACGGCAAAAGTTCAAACGCCGCTAACATCTTCATTTTTAGAGGAATCAAGACGTAACAAAAAAGGTTATACGTAATTCTTCTTTGACTATCAAATGGCTATCTCGGTTTTTTGAAAATGTTGGATTTTGGCCCAATTTTTTGTCAAAAAACTGACTTTTTTTGTGAAAATAATTATAAAATCCAAAATTTTGGGTGTATCGAAAAAACCGGAATATATGTCAGAGACGTGGTCTATGTGCACCTACACACCAAGTTTTAGAAGAATCGGTTCAAAAATGTGGGAGTTATTCAAAATTTTATGACGTCACGACACACAAAATTTTTGAAAAATGACTTTTTTGGAAGTTCTAGACCTCGTACGGAAACAAAAATAGCACCATTCGATTCGCCGTGAAAAAGCTGCATCAGATAGACACCTTTTTAGGCCTTAACAACCAACTTCAAAATTTGACCTCACTTGACCTGACCTTGACCTGACCTCGACCTGAAATTCATCCAGAGGTGGTCCATATCACTTATTGAGTGTGCCTATTGAATTCTATGAGTAAAATGACCCATAAAACATGTGTCGCACATGCCCTTTTCTATATTTTGTTTTTGGTGACCTGACCTGACCTGACCGGACCTTGACCTTGACCTCTGAATGATATTGTATGCAACGAATATTGTCTTGGTAGCCTAAGAACACGTTTTGGGCGATCAGTCTCAGTCCATGACTCCATTCTTCGGCAACTACGGTGCAAGGCCGATACTGTAGGAACTTGCAATTTGTACCCTTGACCTGACCTTGACCTTGACCTCAAACTTAAAATTAAGTACACGTTTTTAGTTGTTCGTGATGAGATCTTTCGATTGGCGTTTGAATTTTCAAAATCAAAATCGGACCATTAGTTCGGGAGATAACAGGGGGGGTAAAATTTACCCCCCCCCCCCCAGCCCCGCGCGTTCGGCTGGAGACCCCAGCCCCGCGCGGGTTAATTGCGTGATAAACGGCACAACTTAGCGCTCCGGTCAACTGATAGCTTCTGAGGAGTGGAACATCATTCTGTAGTCGACTATACAAAACCTGTTTACACTCGGCTTTTACAGCAGACTCTCACCCGAATTATAAGTCTGCAGCCGAATACGATATCACCTGCGTATAATTTCACCTGAGACAGACTTTACCTGAGCATGCCTCTCGCTGGATCCTCACCTGAGTATTCACTAGATCTAGGAGTCACCGCACTACGATCTCACATTGGCATGCCTCTCATTTTATCTCACCTGAGTATGATCTCGGAGTCGGCCTGGGCGGCCAGGTGCAGCGGAGTCAGGCTCAGTGAGTCGCGAGTCCGGGAGTGCACGTTGACGTGGATCGACAGCAGGAACATGACTGACTCGATGTCCTTCTTCTCGATCGCCACGTGAAGGAAGTTCCGGCCGCGGCTGTCGTACTGCGGGAAACCAGTGAGGGTGGCAAGTCGTGTGATGGTAAGCACAGGATGTAGAAGCAGAGAGCAAGCGTCTTTGGCTCGGTAGGACTGTGGCTGGAGACGCAAACAGATGTAGGTCGTTTGTGTCATCTCGGGTAAGTACAAGTAGACAGTGCATGACGACAGTGCATGTTATGACCTAAGCGCAAACGTCCAATAATACGTGAGAAGGAAGATCACGTACCATAGCATAATACACGTAGCATCCTTCCGTCAAAGATAATGCCACATGATTGGTAGCAAATTTTTACTGAGCACACATATATTCAACCACAAATCACAAGAAACTTGTTCTGCGTTCGAATCACAAATTATATGCCCACCTGCTCGGCGACGCCCGGCTCCCTGCCGAGGATGGCCTGCGCCGCCTTGTTGTTCTTCATCGTCATGGCCAGGGTGAAGGGCGCCCGGCCCAGCCGGTCGCGCGCCGTGAGATCCGTCTCGGGGGCCGACAGAAGCAGGGTGATGATGCCAGTGTGGCCGTTCTCTATGGCGTGGTGCAGAGGAGTCTTCTGGTCACAGTCCTGGAAGGAAGCAGGGGCAGAAGAGATGGTAAGTAGGCAGTTAAAATGAGTCCATATCAGACCATCGGCAGACACGGTCAGTGTGTGACGCTCATCAACATTATGGAAGACGGTTGACGACGCATTTGAAGCATTCTCTGCGTAGCTGTTCATATGGTTACCTTTAGTCTCCCCCTCCTCACGGATTTCCAAATTCCCTGACACGAGTGCCATCTGTATCGAACGCCACATCACTGACCCTGGCGTTAGTGTTGGCTCCGTGCTCCAGCAGTGCCTGGACCGTCTCCTGCAGTCCCCACTGGGCACACAGGTGTAGAGGTGTCATCTGATCACGCGCCTCGTCCCCGCCGCGGCCGTCCGGGCCCGGCCGGCGCGCGCTGCTCACGTCACAGCCGCTGGGGGAGAGGGGAGGGTCAGAGGTCAGGTCAGAGGTCCAGGCCCGGCCGGCGCGCGCTGCTCACGTCACAGCCGCTGGGGGGGGGGGTTTAGAGGTCAGGAGTCACAGCAGAGATCGGGCTGGGACATATATTACACGAACAAAAATTTCGGCTCGAACAATTAACGCACGAGTATTAGGAAGAAGCACTTTTACCCGTTCCCTTTAAGCACCTTTTACCGCTCGCTGTTACCTGCGTATCAGGAACCCGGTGATGTGCTCGTTGTTCTCGTCAATGGCGCGGTGGAGCAGTGTCTGGTAGCAGCCGTCCGGTCCCTCGCCCCAACAGTCCGTGTCTATTCCGAACCTGGGAGCGGGGGATGAACGGTCAGCGACGTAAGACACTACGCGCCACGGTACTGTGGTATTTGCCGGCAGCAGCACTGGTGAACATTGGCAGTTACAATTTATAGAAAGAAGACAAATTGTAGGACATGTGATTCCTAGCACGATATGAAGCATATTCAACGAATACCCTCTTTCGCCCTCCTTCCCGCCCTCTCTCCCTCCCTTCGACCACTTTCTCTTCCTCTCTCCTCACCTGACCAGCACAGAAGCAGCGTCTGTGCGTCCACTCGCCAACGCCTGCCAGAGCGGCGGGCACTTCCCCCTCCTTCCCTCCCTCCCCTCCTTCCTTCTCTGCTCACCTGACCAGAACCGAGGCGGCGTCTGTATGTCCACTCGCCAAGGCCTGCCAGAGCGGCGGATCGTGTCCGGGGGAGGAGGACAGGTCCGCCCCCGACTCACACAGCAGTTCCGTCACCGACAGCAGACCGCGCTCGATACTCAGCTGCAGCGGCGACAGGCCGTCCCGCGTCCTGCGGGGTCGGGAAAGGTTGGGTCAAATCAGCTGCTGAAAGACAGTAGTAACTAAAGCGACCAGACACCGAGTGTAGAACAAGTTCGACCATTGACCAGACCGGGGTCTTCAGGGTTTGAGACCGTCGCTGAATGCCCGATCAAGACATATACGATATGAAAAGCGACATGACTGTTCTTATGTCTGCCTAAACGAAAAGCGACACCACATCGTGGTACATAATGCGATGACCTGTAATGCATAACAGAGCTGTGACACTCTCAGCGTCGCCTGGGGCCCACTCACCTGCAGTTGATGTCTGCGCCGTTCTTGAGCAGGAAGGTGGCTGACCGTCCGTTGTCGGTGCGTATGGCGCGGTGGAGCAGTGTGTCGCCCTCCAGGTCAGGGATGTCCACGGACGCGCCGCCGCGGATCAGCTCCAGAGCCACCTGTCCACGAGGAGCGAGAGGTGAGGAAGGGGGTAAAGGGGGAACAGTTGACCACCGTGGGAGAGTATAACGTGTCCGAAACGACGGATACAGAGCGAGGAGCTCTGTGGTCAAAATTAAAACGTTGCATTTTGAAACAATAACAAAGACGTGTAGTTATCATTGGGCTAGACGTGTAAATAGTCATATTCAGCAAGAGCTCGAGCAGCATTCAGGAGGCGTCTAAGTAGCATACATCAAAGTCCCGTAGATTCGTCTGCAAACACACCTCATTCATGTTCATGTCCAGCGCCAGCGCCAGCGGTGTCCTGTCGTTTGAGTCCTTCAGGTTCAGGTCCGGTACTATGGTGTTGGCGTCCGGGGAGCTCTCAGCCATACCTGCGACGGGTACGGGCAAAGCAATGCATTAGGTATGGTAACGAATGGATGACGAGTGCTTCAATATGGCGGAATTTTATACACTATCTTAGCAAAGTATCGTGGTTAGGCTTCAGGATCAAGGTCAAGACTCTTCATGCGTACGTACGGCTCTCGCGAGATTAAGCGGTAGGTTTTGCACTTTTACATTTCCGGTTATATCTAAAAAACTAATCGATCTACGATGAAGTCATTTTACACGATCATCGCCGGCTGGTTACCCAACAAGTCGAACGCATCTTCAACACTTAAAAGCTTAAGACGACGAAGATATAGCCTGAAGTACACTAAATTTTCTAGGTGCAAAACCTACCGCTAAAACCCGCGAGACCTATACACGAGACTCAAGCATGTGTTAAAACTGTAGAGTCCGCTGCCACTCACGTCTGTGCTCCAGTATGGCTGCCACCACGTCCCGGTGTCGGTACTGGACAGCCAGGTGGGCGGCCGTCTGCCGGTGCGGCTCCCCCACCCCGCCGGCCTCGCCGCGAGCCGTGGCCGCGTTAGCATTGGCGCCGCGGCGGAGCAGTTCAGCCACCAGCCGGGACAGGCCGTGTGCGGCCGCCACGTGCAGAACGGTCTCACCCTGTCAGGGGAGGGGACGGGGTCAGAAGGAGCGTGTGGGTTAGCGGACATCGGCAGAGAGCATCGGTTATGCATCCTTGGCGCTAACATATTCTGGAACGATGGAACATTTATGAGATGAAGAAAGGGCAATGACAAACTAAGGAAAAGTAATCTAATCCCTGATAAGATTTCAGATCGTTTACCACTTTAAACTTGCTACATCAGTTCCTCCAGAGCAGTACTAAACGACGACATCCTAGTTCCAAGCATGCAGTAAGAAGGAAAACGTTCGTCGAAGACCTGCACCATAAGTTCACCAATGAGTCTAAGACCAGCTTCATTTAGCCAGGATCCTCTACTCACCTGCTTGTTGAAAGCTCCTGTTTTAGCCTTGGCCTTGACCAGGAAGATGGCTTCCTCCTCGAGGTCGTTCAGCGCCGCCTGGTGCAGCAGTGTGTCCTGGGTCGCCTGGTTCACCTGGGAGAAACACAGACAGACATAAGCACTACCATTGGGAGAGACAGCGCCGTCTGGTGCAGCAGTGTGTCCTAAGTGGCCTGCTTCACCTACAGGGCAGCATAGACATAAATATCACGATTCGGAGCGGAAAACCACAGCAGCATGTTGTCAAATCTTCCAAAACAAGGTAGAAAGAACATCCGACCAAAGTATCACGGATTAAATATGATGGAAGGTAAAGCACAATACGTTCCGACAAATCTCATCCACATCATCCAAATAACACGTAACCTGCACACCAAACTTCATCTCAAACCAACACAAATTATACACACCACCAATAAGTATCCTACCCCAGCAGTTTTATTCCCCTTCCCTCAGTATTCAGTTTCACTGTGTATACGCTGCTCCCTTCCCTCCCTCTCCCTCCCCCTCTCACTCACGGCATCCACGCTCGCTCCGGCGGTGACCAGTCTCTGCGCCATGCTGTTCTGCTGTACGCCCGCCAGCAGGGCGTGCCAGAGCACGGTGTGGCCGCGCCGGTCGCGCCGCTCCAGGTCACACGGACGGGTGATGAGGACGTCAAACACGGGCGTGCAGCCGGACGATACGCACACGTGGAGAGGCGTGCTGTAATAAGGGTAATGGTGGGGTTAACGGAGTGAGAGCGCTGTTGGCCAATCGCTTAGTTAGAGAAAGAGAGAACTGTGACTTTTTTTTTGCATATGTATGCTCCGGAATCCGGATCCTCCGGATAAGTTTTGCATTATTGTCGGATCTGATAGACCAGTATCTCATTCAAGCTCTCTCCCGCCTCACCAAAACTGTTATCTCCCTCCTTATCCCAGCTCTCTGTTCCATCTGCCCATTCCCCACTTCTCCGCCCTTTCTCTCCCCTTTGTACACCTCCGCTCCATATCTCCCACTCTCCCCACCTGAGCTCCGAGTTCTGGGCGTTGGTATCAGCGCCCGCGTCCAGCAGCCTCCTGGCCAGCCGGCCCCTCCACTCGTCTTGGGGTCCGCCGGTGGCCAGTAGGTGGAGCGGGGTGTCGCCAGAGACGGGCACGGCGCCGTCCACCGCCGCGCCGTGGTCCACCAGAAACAGCGCCGAGCGCTCGTCATCTGATGGAGAGTAACAACGTCATCGTTAGCGTCATCATTATTATCATTATCACTAGTAGCAGTAGTGGCGGCTTAGTCCTCAGCACAGGCCGTGGCGGAGGCCAGTGTCATACACCTCGATCACTCATGCTGTAACATGGAACGCCAACCATCTGCCCGTGTTCTTTAGAAACACGGGCAAAGGCAGCATCTGACTTCCAGGCCCCACCTTTGGCAGCTCAAAATTTAACAAACAACATTGACAGTCATCGTTTCACATTGAAAAACGCTACTGCAAATGATGCTGACTAGATTGAAACAAATGCTGCATAACCACTTCCATTGACGGTCGTCGCGCCCACCTCGGAGTATGGCCTTGTGCAGCAGGCAGCGCCCCTGTCCGTCGGCGGCGTTGACGTCCACTCTGTGTTTGAGCAGCGTCTCACAGATGGCAGCCTGGTCGAGCCGCAGCGCCAGGTCCAGAGGCAGGTTATCGCGGTCGTCCGGCTCGTTCAGGCGCTCCGGCAGCTGAGGACAGAGGGGAAAAATGTTACACGGATGAAAGTACGTTGTGCTTTTTGAACACGGCATTCAAAGGTCCTGATAAGGTGACATCCGACACCAGAAAGAGAAGAGAAGAGATAATGCATTTTGAAAAGCAGCAAAATAAAATTCCGTGACCGGTTGGTAACCATTCCATGGACAACATTCCAAGATGTGGCGGCATCAGGGCTTATGACGCCCCATAGTTACTCTGCGTTATGACACAGGTCATCAGTTGCTCAATTGTTCCATCCTCGCCCGACCCAACCCAGCCAGTCGAGCTGTCGCGTTGACATGCGCTAATAGCCGTAGCTGTGACGTCATTCTGAGCCTTGTCAACTGACTGTAAATGGCAGTCCGACAAGCGATAAACAGGCACACTTGAAATTACACAGCCGATCGCGTCACTGTGCGCGATACCGTAAAATACCGGCCCAGCTCACACTAAAAACGGAAGGACAAAAATGCCGTGACATTCTTGTTCCACGATACTGGTAACAATGGCTAATGCTTACACAATGCAGTGCTCCACAAAAAAAAACACTGCATGTGATCAGTTTAAAAGAGGCCTCACCAAACACCACTCACAAAGAGTCTGCAGGACGGCTGGCAGCTCAGTCATGCAATGACCATGTAGACATGCTCATCGCGTCATCACCTGGCCGGTCTTTTACCTCTGACGGCGGCAGGCAGGCACGCAAACCCACCCGGTTACGAAATCGGAGCAACATCGGACGCCCACATTTGCCGGATCCGTACCAAATTTGAGGGGACCGTCTGCATTGGGTAGACATGGGGGCGCGATGGGGTGCATATTTTCTACAGCGCCACGCAGAGTTGCGAGGGCTAAGTTCCGGGTGCTGAGCGAATCGCCGAACCAGGACGGGGCAAAGGACGGCCGGACAGCGTCGGACAACATCTGACAGTATCTGACCGCGACAGCTCGGTGCAGCCGGCCAGAAAAGTCGCCGGGTGGTCGACCAGCCATGTCGCCAGGTGGTCGGTCCGACGACAATGCAGCATTGTCGCCCGGGACGGCCCGTGCAACTGTCTCGGTCGGTAGCAAAGTGCAGACCGCGCAGCCGCCGCGGACAGGCGACGGGAAACGGCACTGACCCGTGACCGGTGGCCGGTGACTTCTGACCAGTGCCTCATTGACCTTTATACGCGTACGGGTAGGTAAAAGATTGGTGCAACCGGACGGCCACTGAAAGTTTTTCATCCAATAGCATATGTCTGGTGACTTATTGATCATAATCACGATGATCATTGAAAGTCGACAACGGCACAAGATGACTGACGGCACGGCCACATAACGACACATCCGGAACCATTAACCCGCGCCGGGCCGGTGCTCTGAGATTCCGCGCCGGGCCGGGGGGGGGGGTCTGAACACCCCCCTTCTTAACTCGGCTCCTGGGCCACGTAGCGACACGCGGTAAGCGGCAATCGAAAGAACGTCCAAAATAAGGACGAAAACACTTCGGTCATTTTTTGGGTCAGGTCAAAGGTCAGGTCACCAGAGGTCACCAAAGGTAAAATGTTGACTATTTCAACATTTCGGAAACTGCCAACGGCTATCTTGGGAACCGATAGAGCTACAGCGCCGCGGAAAAGCGCATTCGATAGCCCTTTTACAGGCCTTTCTGAGTAATGTTCTCAGATTTGACCTCAGGTCAACGGTTTAGCCTCCAGAGGACAAAAACTCCAAAAATAGCCGTTTTTACGAAAATCGGTTTTTCGGCGATAACTTTTCACTCAAAAGAGCCATGACATTACTTTTGCCAGCATCGTGTTCCTCTCGTCGAGACGCGTCGAATGAACTATAAGTTGACCTTGAAAGGTCAACTTGAAAATTTGACCTCAGGTCAAGGTCATGACCTGACCGGAAAAGGTCATGTTGCATATCAGTCGATCCGCAACGTCGAGCCGAACACATCTAAGGCGTTTTCAGCGCTCTAGGACGCCTCTATCAGAAGTTATTAGCGAAAAACTGTTAGATTCTGTTCGTGACCTGAGATGACCTCGGGGACATAACGAGGGGTCACAGTTGCCATTTTCTGGTTCAGTGTGTCAATTTTACCTACATCTCGATGTTTGAGAGTGTCTAGAATGGCGTTCGTGCAAAACAGACGCTTTTCAATTTTCTCCCATTGACTTATAATGGAGAGGCCGCAAAATTGACCTGACCTTAGGTCACCGATATCAAAATTCCGAGATATACATTTTGTAGATACTGTTGCTCTAATCAATCGCTGAAAGTTTCAAGGCAATCGATCAATCGGTGTAGCTATGACGAGCATTCTTATTTTTTCTGAGGTGAGGTCACTTGGCGTGACCTGGTGACCTGACCTAAGGCGACCTGGGTCTGAAATTTTCACAACATGTGCGGAAAAGATGTACGAACAGGTGTCCGTTTTTGAAATATCTGCGAAAAACCGCAGGGGGGGTGTTCAAACACCCCCCCCCCCGGCCCGGCGCGGGTTAATAAACCAATGAGCTGATGAATCACGGAGTAGCCGTTCGTTGACACCGAAAACTTAAGTGACCTCTCAACACTAAACAAAGTCTAGAACAAAGACATAACAGCAAAGTAACGGCAGACGTCCAAATAAACTGGGCAAACCAATCCAAAGACAATGGACGTGTTAACACATCGATAGCATCATTCCAGCAGGCTTTGTAGCACGGAAACATTGTTACCAATCGAGTAAATAAGTGGAACGCCGCACTCACCGCTGCCACAAAGAAGAACCGAACACTCCACGGGCCTTGATAAGCCCATTGACGAATTTCCCCTGAATCCATAACACGCGGGCCGACCAGCTGCAGATAATCAGGTTCAAACGGTCGCCGGTGGTGGGCCAAGAACAGCAGAAGCAGCCCATCAATTTCCGTCACATCACCATCGCCTTTCGGACGATTGGATCAGCCTTTCCGGTGCCCGAGTCGACTGATCAGAGCGCTCATCGCAACAGGGATACCGATCATTTCGCTAATGAGGCCCAGCCAATAGACTGGGAGGCAGCAATGGACTGGGACGATATGGGAAGGTGACGTCCTTCGGGCGCCCTTTGGCATCCTTCGGGCTTCTTTTGGGCGTCCTTTGGGCATCCTCACGGCGTCTCAGAGTCGGGACACACCACGACACCGATATATGATCAACGGCCACTCCTTTCAAACACTGTTGACCGGTGTCATAAACGTCTCGTCAGACATGTTGGCGACATGTTGGCGACTCGTCAACATGGCCCGCTGGCGTCACCCGCCCCGATTCGGCCGGGGGGACACGACCCCGATCAAGATGCAGAGGTGGGATACCTCACTGCATGAGACGGCGGTGCATTTAGAACGCCTCACAGAACGCCCCTCCCCCCCCCTTTGGTCCGACGGAGAGGGGAGGGGAGAGGGGAGGGGAGAGGGGTTAACTTATGCTCCTTGGTGACAGCATATGACATGGATCATCAGAGGTCATACAGCCCATCCGCTGCGGCTGACAAGACCTCAGACGTGTACCACTAAGTATGGCACGGCAGGGCGTGGGAGCGTATCAGCAATGGCCCCGGCCGCTGGATAACACCGTTTGAAGTTTGAGGACAAATACCCAGAGCTCAAATCGGCGTACCGGACGCCAGACAAAATGTCGGGATTTTGCAGTCATAATCAGCATGAGTCATGAAAAGATAGGCATAAATTGGAATTATAGCAAAGGTTCAGCATACGATGAGTCAGGCCATCAAGTCGGGTCAAATATTCCTTCCCGGCATGACGATTTGACTAAGGAACAACACCTACTTAGCGAAGATTAAGTTTCGAGGAAGGTTTACTTCCTATCGATAAGACCACCAAAGCAGGGTGAATACAAGCATCATGGGTAAAAACAATAACAATCGGATAGATAAACGAAACTGAACGAATACTATAACCCAGCCTGCAAAGGACAAAAAGTCCCATGTCAATCACTCGTCTAACAATGCCGTTTTATGCTTCCACGGCTTCACTGCTAAAATAGCGCGCAGAGGCAATGTGCAACTTTTTGTCACTCAATCGTTTCCCCGCACCGGTAATGGTCTCTTTCGCCAACCCGTGCCAGTATAACTCACTGTTCCCCTCGTCTTGTCATTGCCCCTCCTCTCGGGATTCAGGTCAGTCACCTATCATTCAGTCTTATCTACCATACCGAACATCATAGCATGTAACTGTCTTTGTAATGCAGTAACCCCACCCGACCGTCACTGACTGTAGATTTCCTTCACCAGCACAGCCTCAGCAGCGACCAAAAGGAAAGAAGAAGGACAGGAGGGAAAGCAGAAAGGAAGGAAGAACGGAAGGAAGGACGCGCGGTTGCCACGGATGACCTCACACCCCGGCGCGGCCGGCCCGTGATTCACGGCCCGATTACCTCAGCGCGCCGGCCGTCCCTCACGGTGCCATGTTGATCTCGGCTCCAAACAGATGTCGAGCGGCGGCCGTGACATCAGGGCCAACTTACGGCTCCATCAGAGAGCACAAATCACCCGAGCGGCCGGAGCCGATAGACGGAGAGCCGCTCCAGAGGAATTCAATAACAAAACTCAGACTGAGCGACATTAGTTAACACAGATGAGCCCGCATTAACATTTGGACCCTAGACGCTTGCAAAACAAATCACGGCACATAAATTCAACAAGTTTTGAGAGTTTCGCTTAATATCAGGAACACTTTTGTCATGTTTACACAAAAGCTGTTAGAATTCTTCTCGCCAAAAAAAAAAAAAGACAACAGCAAAACTTTGTTGCACTCTCCAACCCCCTTCCCCCGCCATTACCTAGCACCAGCGCCGGGACAGGATATATGTAGAGCGCTCCCGAATCAGACCCCTGATCCACCTGACGAGTGGTGAGGTCTGCCGGCACACAGCGACTCCTGGCAGCCGATGTAGGAATGGACCGGAGACAGGAGGCCACTGCTCGTGCCGCTCATATGTGAGGTGAGAAATGGCACCA